TTCTAATTCATAGGATTTGGCTTTTAAGCCCTGTTGATAGCTATCATCTCAAAGTCCTGCCCTGAACTGGAAGAAAGTGTGTGTAAATAAAGACAAATTTTCTTCAAGAAGAATTAGAAATCATTGTTAGTATAATGCAAAGTCATGTTCCTGATTTCAAAGATTTGCTACTGGATCAAATTACTAGCTGGCTGTAATAATGCACATGACAGATTAGAGCCTAAGAAAGAACAATTAAAATAATTGGGGAATTTCTAGACTGAAATGACTTCAATTATTATTATTTGATTGAAAAAGTAAGCTAAACATCAAGAAACTGCATGCAGTATTCAATATTATTGAGTAACACCTCACAAACTTGGGGCATCTAGACTATTTACAGAGATTAAACCCTCCTGTCAGAATACTAATAAAGGTAAAGTTGCTGAAATTCAACTAGTATTGATCTTGGTGAGCATGCCTGCTCGTGCAGAAGTATATGTTGTTCAAATAGCTATGTACAACTCAATTACTGCTTACAGCTGCGGAGCAATGATATTTAAGAAAGAGCAAGTAGAGAAAAAAAAATCTAGCCACAGCTGCCAATTATGTTTGGTGCAACCTCACTCCCACAAATGTTAAGCATTTATCTCCAGCAAATGTGGACGAAGTTTATTTTAATTCTTTTGACTCAGCACTCATTACTAAAACGGAGTGAAAAGTTTCCAATTGCTCCACAGCAGGAGGACTCAAATTACATAGGTCAAGAGTTCACATATAATTTGGAGTCTCATAAATTCAGGTATATTTTTTTTTAAAGAGACAAAGCAAGATGGGGACTCCGTTCCTTCCTTTTTGAGTTTGGGAAGTATTTAAGGATGGCAGAAACTTCTATCCTTCGGGATCCTTCAGTATCCTTCAGATGGTCTCTATTGTGAGATCTCTCAAGTTCAAATCTCAAATCAAATCTTGAGTTTGAATTGCAGACTCATAGGCTGACTCCTCTTGGCACCAAACTGGACAGGATTCCTTAGGCCCTTCGGGATTTTTCCCATTTACTATCCCACCAAATCCATTGCAGAGATTTAACTGCAGCAAATGGTCCTTTCCACTAAAAAGATGGCTTCCCCATAACATAACACTGTCCACACAACAATCTGTTGCTTGTTTAATAAAGCTGATGTTGCCTTTGTCTCCCAGTGACTAGCTCTGCTCTTAGCTTTTACCTGAATGCCACCCACCTTCCAGAATCTCCTTGCTTCACCTGAATCTTCCACCACAGCTGCTCTGGTATAATCCTTTCTGAATTTCCCACACCTGGCACCATGTTCTCCAATACATTCTTCCCCCCACCCACTTGAAACCCATTTTCAAGGGACTGTCACCTGGGAACTTGCTTGTCATATTATTTTGGTGGGGGGTGGGTAGGAATCCTTGTCTTAAAAAGAGGGAATAAACCACTTCATTCAAATGTGACTTAATTTCCATCAAAAGGATGCTCTTTGATGCCAGAAAGTTTAGTGGAAAAAGGATGAGCACCTATTCATTGTATACTGCACTTTTTACCAGCTGGATGCTCCCCAGCTGTTTTGGATGAAAGCTCCCAGAATTTCTGACTCTTGGCATGTGTGCAAGGGCTGATGGGAGCTGAAGGCCTTTCCCAAGCTGGAGGGCAACTGGGCCAATTGCTCCTCTTTCCCCTTTAGAATTCAAACTGACCAGGAGCAGCAGGTTGCTTACTTCCTTTCATCTCCTGAAGTACCATAAATCCCCTTGATCCACAGCCTCTGTGGATCAACCTCTTTCTGAATGTTTTGGGCTTCAACTTTCATCAGTCCCTACCAGTAGAGTCCTGGGAGTTGTGTTTTTAGGTTGGGGAGCCTGCAGCAGATGTTCATGTTCTCTAGCATCACGTCCTCTGTGGTGAAAGGTGCAGCCCTCGGTTAACAGCATTTTTGGCCCTTGCCATTCTTCTGTGTTTCTTTTGGTCTCCAGTGCTGAGGTAGCAGATTAGTTTGACATACCCTGGGCATGATGCAGGCAACATGTTAAAGTCCCCACCTCTCAAAAGTTGGGTAGTGAAACCTTTCTAGAAGTCTACAGGAAAGAAGTTCCCCTAAGGCCCTCCTAAAAGCTTGTAGTTAAAGTTTCCAGCTGAAGTTTCCAGAACATCATAAAAGGCAACCCCATATAAAACACACTGCAGTAGCCTAGTCTGGCTGTCACTGAGCGCAGATAATTAGGGCAAGGTGAGACATCTCCATGCAGGCCAGCCTCTCTGTGCAGCCAATGTATGGCCCTAAGCTAGTAAGAAGGACTCCAGCTCACTGCTTCCACTTGGGCTTCCCAGTTAGCACAGAATTCGAGGCAACTCCCAAACATGCACCTGGCTTTCAGCAAAAGTGGAACCCCAACTTGGACCAGCTGTAAGTCTTCATTCAGGCAGACATGTTTCCTTGCCTCCATCTTGTCTTGATTAAATTTCAGCTTAATAACATAAGAAGAGCCCGGCTGGGTCAGACCAAGGGTCCATCTAGTCCAGCATTCTGTTCACACAGTGGCCAACCAGCTGCCCATGAGAAACCCACAAGCAGGACATCCATGCAGCAGCTCCCTCCCTCCCAATATTCCCCAGGAGCTGCCTAACACATAGCCATGGATAGCCTTGTTCATCCACAGCTACCCCAAAGTGGCCTCTGACCCAGTATGGTCTGCCCCAGCATCCCCCAACTTGGTACCTTCCAGATGGCACTGGAGTAGTTCCCAGTATTCCTAACCAGTGGCCATGCTAATGGGGACTAATGGGATCTGAACTCCAAAATGTCTGGAAGGTATCAGGCTGGAGGAAGCTAACCTGGCAGCAGTTCTTCAAGGTCCTCAAGCAAAGGTTTTTCACATCAACTGAACTTCTTGTAAAATAAAAATAAAATGAGAGATGCCCGGGGTTGAAGCTAGGTTCTTCTGCAGGCAAAACATGACCTCTGCCACTGAGTTAACCCCCGCCCCCACACCATGTGGGTTCATTGACTACTGCAAGCACAATGAAGGAGAGGATGGATTGTGTTTTGATTAATCAATGCAATTCTTATGTTCAGTGCTATTAAAGACAAAGTAAACCTCCTCCATCAGGACAAGGAGAAATGCCTCTCCCACCTGCCCCAAATGCGTGGGCAAAGGTCCTTCCTGCATAGCCCCACTTCTCTCCTTCTGCATCAACAGGTAGTTCAAAGTGCTTCTGGTTCCTGCTACCTGTTGGCACACTTGAGCATGGCAACCATTTCTGGTATTATAAGGCTGCAAGGACCAGACAGGGAGATAGATCACAGGCTCACTTTTCTGAACGGTCATTTCCACGCATTTCTTTACCATGACTGAGATGTAACAGAGATTTTTTACAACAAAAAGTGAAATCTGCCTCCCTAGGCAACCAGATACAATCCTCACTCCCTGGCTTCTCTGCTTTCTTGTATAGAGAAAACTGTATTAATACATGAGGGCAAAGTTCTTCTTAGGATTCATTAGCAGGGGATGGATGGGAAAGAAGGGATCGGGCAGATAATGAATCCATTTCTTGAATGCCTTTTGGCTCCCTTGGCAGAGACAAGATGGCATTTCCCTTGGAGATGGAGCTCTGTGAAGCAGGGGAGGGGGAAGGGAGGAAGGAGAGCCTAATTTCAGCTGCAACTTGGTCCAGGTCTGGGTCCAGCCCCACCATTCAGCTACACAACAAGTGGGGCAGTGTCAGTGCCCCAAGGACCAGCTGGGTAATTTCACACGGACCAGGATGCTGCCCTTTCGTCAGGGTTTGGACCAGCCAGCTCGGGGTTGTTTCTTCTCTGACTGGCAGTATCTCTCCTGGGTCTCAGGTGATGGTCACCTGGGATAAAACTGGGGCATGTGGCAGACAAAACATGCTCTGCCACCAGCCCACTCCCTCCCCAGGCGAACTTCCCAGGCGCTAACCGACCTCCACAAGCACAACTTTGCCTCTCTCCATGCCGCGGGGTGGAGAGAGCTACCTGTTGCATTTCTGCCTTCCACACAACGGTTCAAAGCAGAGACCAACATCTCTGCGGACAAAAAAATGCCCACCCAACTCACGCATCGGGGAGCAGGACTTTTAGGCAGGGTTGAGCTCGGAAACCAGTCTTTGGAAGGAATTAACCACTCCTCTGCAGAACAGAGTTATCTATCCCCCACTCCCTTTATTAATTGACACGGATCTTCTTGTTCTTAACGCAGCAAGAGAAATGCTTACTGGAAATCCAGATTTCGGAAAAACTGCTAAAAATCAGCGATCTGCTTAATTTTGATTTTTATTTTTTTTGGTGTGGTCATTATTAAATGAACTAGTTTGAGACGTGTGCATGGGGGAGGGGGAGTATTGTTCGGCGCGATAGAAAAGACGCAGGGAAGCAAACCAACTCCTGCCCTTTCCACACCAATCTTTACCATATCGGTGCCAATTCTGTTCTTTAGGGAGACTGGACCCCGCTCGCTTTCCCGCAGATCCCAGCTCTGCCGAGTCCCCGAACCTGGGACTAGGTGTAGTAGCCACGACACAGCGCTTTCCTTCGGTCTGGGGCTCCTCGGAGCTCTGCGCACAAGGGTCTCCTTTGGACGCCCAGAGCCCCCTTCCCCACAAGCAAGCAAGCAAGCCAACCACAACCCACCAACCCACCCAGAGTCATGGGAGCGATGTGGCCACGCACCTTTTCCTTTCCTCCCCTTTCGCTGGGGGAATGAGGAAAAGAACAGGAGAAAAAGTTCAACTTCCCAACGCCCACTCAAACCCGCTGCCGCGGCTGCCATTAGTTGAGGCAGCGTGTCCCCCCCTCCACCCGCACCCCACGCCTCTCCTCAGTCCTCCCTCCTTTCTTGGGAAGCAGGCAGCGGCGGGGATCACCACGAGACGGACTTAGGAGAAAAATCCTCCAGCCGGAGAGGCAGGAGAGCTGGCAGGCGGCGGCGGCGCGGAGGGGGGGAGAGAGAGAGGGGGAGAGAGAGAGAGTCGACTCTACCTGTGCTGCTTATACCTTGGTTGGTGGTCTCCAGAGGGAAGATGCCGGAACATTTCTCCAGCTCCACTTTCCCTCCCAGGCACAGCTCGGAGATGATCTGCAGAGCCTTATGGCACAAGCTGCCCATCCCGTCCTCCTTGTGGAAACTCATCTTTTTGGGTATCCCCCACCCCTGACAAAAGAGCCCTTATCTTTCTCTTTTCTCCTCCTCTCGATCTAAGCCATGGATCTTCTCCTCCTGGGCAAAGGATGTCTTTACTCTCCACCTTCGTCCTCCTGGATGGTCATCAGTGGTATGATTATTGAGAAGGATCCAAAAAGGGTGGCGGTGGGAAGAAGAGGGGGAAACGGGGGGTTCCAGCTTTCAAGTTGTCAACCGAAGGGGAAAGGGTGGGGGGAGAGAAGACACACCGGAGAGGGAGGAATACTCCAGCGCGCACAGTCGCAAGTGAGCCAAGATTTACCATCAGAAGAACAAGGGTGGATAATTGGGAATGGGGGGGGGTGCTTTAAAAAATAGCAAAAAAAAGAAGAAGAGAAGAGCAGTCGGCAGCGCCTTTTGCGCCGTGCGGGCATCGGTAGGCAGCTGGTCCAATGGCAGCGGAGCGCGGGTGCTTGGGAGGGCTACAAGTGGCGGCGGGCGCGCGGGACTCGCCGGCGGGCGCGTCGGGAACGCTCGGTGCTCGCTTTAGGGGACGGGGAACAAAGGGGAGGAGGAGCCGCGCAATTCAGGGGAGGGGGCCGGGTGCGCGCAGGGGGGCTGGGTGCGGTTGTGGCAGGGAAGCCCTGCGCGGGCTTCTGCGCCAGGGCGGGAGCAGGGCTTCTGCTCAGCCTCTAGGTGGCTCCTCGCCAGCCCCTCTTGGCCTCTCGTGCGGGCGCAGGGCAGGAGGAGGCAGATCCGCGCCGGCCGCGCCGGCGGGGACGGGGCTTGTGCCACGCGCTCTCGGCGCCTTTCGCGGAGTCACGCCAAGGAAACGAGCCAACAGGTTTCCCCCCGAAGCCTGCCTGCCTGCCTGCCTTCTCTCATGCCAGGTTAAGTTCCCAGGAAAGAACCCCAAACCGATAATTATTAATTTTGCTGTTGTTGTTATTATTTTCACTTGAAACTTTATTTTGAAATAGAGTTGAAAATACAGGTGTGAGAAAGGAAACACCCCCTCCCCACTTGCCCAGGATAATGCGGTGAACGTGCAGTGTCCTAAACAGATCAATTTGAAGCAAGCCCCAAGGAGTTCAGTGGGGCTGGCTCCCAAGTCATTGCCGGTCTGCAGCCTAAGCTCAGTGGGCTGAAGGGCAAATGGGACTCTATTTATTTATGTATTTAAAGCTTTTATAGACCGGCCCATTACTAGTGTCTTGGGATGGTTTACAACAACATTTCAGTACATTATGGGTAGGTTTGCAGAACTGAATAAAAAAGCTCAGGAGAGTTTGGGGGTCTGCATTACAGAGAGGAACTGAGTTAAGGGGCAAATATGTCTCAAATATGTCATTTTATTGGGGTGTAGTCAGAAGACCCTGCTTGGAGGCTCTTCATACATGCAGGGAATAGCTGTGATTCCCCCCCCCCCCCCAAAAAAACCCCATCCTTCCTCGGTTTTAATCCAGGAACTCAAAGGTTTTTCAGCACACCTGCTATCTAGTAAGCTGATGGCAGACAAAAGGTGGCCGTTCTTTACACAGCTTAAAACCATTGAATAGCAGAGTTGGCTGGAGTGAGCAAGGTAGTGGATCCAATCCACTACTCAGTGCAGGACTCCAGGTCAGAGCATCCTGAACAGATGATGTCCAGCTGAATCTCACAAGCTCTCAGAGTGCGATAGCCCACAACCTCCCCAGGTAATGGCTGAATTTCCCTAGGGACAGTTATCAGGGAAAATGAAGGCCTACTTAGTGCTCCATCATGCCTCCTTGAAACACTGGCAAATTACTTTTCAAAAGTTTCAGCCTCATCTTCTCCATGACCGGGTAGTTGGTAATAGACACTGAACACCATTTCTCTCTTATTTGCTCTAGTTATTTTAACTCAGATGCTGTCAATGGAGTCACTAAGCTCATCCTCATCCTCATTTCTGTGCAGAGGCATGTCTCTAGAATACATGGCATGACTCCACCTCCCTTTCTGTTCCTTTTGTTCTCCTTGAACAAGTTGTAAACTTCAGTTGCTGAATTCCAGTATTGGAGTCATCCCACCAAGTCGCAGTTGCACTTATCAAATTGTATTTGCCCTCAAATACAATGATGCTGTATGTTTCCCATACTTTGAACATTATTTTATAGATATCACAGATCATTTACTGAATTCACTAGCATAATCTGCATTTTAAAGGATTAAATAACTTCACATAGCAGCTTTCTCCACAGTGGTACTTCCCAGATGTTTTTGATTGCATTCCCCAGCTTTCTCAGCCGGCAGGGTAATGATGGATGTGGATTATGGGAACTGGAGTCCAACACCTCTGAAAAGCACTAGGTTGAGGAAGGGTGTTTCAGAGAGCAGCTACGTAGGACCTTTGTGCTTGAAGTGGCAGTGTGGATCTGAGGATCCGGTGCTGCAGAGAAGCCACAGTGGGTCTCCTGGCATTTCTGGTTTGTGAAAGTGTAGAGGCATGGGCTTCACTGCTATTGGAAAGCTGCTGATCTTGAGTGGTCCAGCAAGGGCATTCATTCCTATGTAGCTCTTGAATGGTCCCTAGTTAAATAGTTGAAGAAGCCCTAGGACAACCTCCCTTCACCAGACACCATCTAGATATCCTGGACTCCAGCTCCCAGAATCCCTGCCCTTTGACCATGGTGGATGGGGCAGATGGGGGCTGAAGTCCAAAACATTAGGAGGGCTCCAGCTGTCGTAGATAGAACTGTAGCCACAAACTTGGGCTCTGTCCCAGACTACATGATGTCTTATGTAAAGGGTCTCTGTGTATGTACTGAGTACATTTTTCTTCACCAGCAAATAACCATTGGCAAGTTGCTCATATGATTAAGGAGAGAATGATGGAGGTTGAGGCTTTGAATATGCAATGTTTGACTGTTGGAATTTTCCTTCTCTTTTGGTGCAAACTGCTGGGCAGAGCTAAAGGGAAGAAAAGTCCTGCTGGTTCAGACCCATGGGCAGCCCAGAAGCAGGGCATGAAGGCAATAGCTGCCCCTTGCTTTGCTCCCATGCCTGCATCTCATTTTCAACGGTGTGCACCTTTGGACTTGTGGAACCTTCCACAGAGATATCATGTCTATCGCCCATGACAAGTGGGACCTACAACCAAATGCGGCAGTGTGGGGTACACCAGCCCTGTTCAGGGTTCAGCCATGCTTCACCTCAAGACACCCCATTCTATTCCCCCCTGCCCTGTGGGGAGGCTACACTTGTGCTGTCTTTGAATGTGGGAAGGTGGGGGGCTCTCTAAGTCTGCTACCACTGACTAAGTTCCCCTGACCCCAGTAGGCCCAAGGAGATGCATGCAGGATTGCACTGTTTAGGTTTTCCCTCTTTTGGCTGGGGAATGCCAAAAGTTGTAGGCTTCTTTGTCTTTACACTTTGCAAATGTGGGAAGCAGCAGGAACGAAAAGACACCCATGACATCCTCCAGCTCCCCTCAATCTCATCTGGTATGGCCAATGGCCAGGATTATGTGACTGGGAGTCCAAACATCTAGGGAACACCAGGTTGCCTAGCTTTAGAATATAGGATGGCTGCATTCTTCCAGAATCTGGCCCATTCTCTTTTGAGCTAGTGGCTGTTGCCACCTCTTGTGGCATCACAATCCACAAATAATCTCCACATCGCATGAAGACACTCTTGTACTGACTGCCCTTCAGTTTCATTGCATGGCCCTGGTTTCTAGTTGTATTTGAGATGGAAGGAAATCTTCCCCTATTTTCTTTCTCCACATGTTGTGTTCTTCAATAAATTGCTTCTTAAATGTCATATAGCATCCTATAATTTAATGACAATTTAATGGCAAGTAATTGTTTTCCCTAAGCTGTTATTTTACTCTTGCTAACCTGTTCAGGCTTGGATGTTGAGGGCAGGCTGCCATCTAAAGGAAAAAGTGCATCATTTGAGATGGAGCTTTCCAGGCATCAAACCTGACACCTAGTTTGAACGTTGGAGTGTTTTTACAAATGTTTTCCATCAGGTTCTGAAGTCGCTTTCCTTCACCACTGAGGGTTCAAAGGGGTCAACATGTTAGACCTTATGAATCACAAGAAGAAGAAGAACCACAGGGCTGGAGCTCCTCCAGCGCTCTAATCACACAATCGCCAACCTGCTGGGGATAAACCAACAAGAAAAACACAGCACTCTCCTGCTTCTGTACCCCAGAAATTGGGGCACATACGCACTGATTCCTCAGTGGCAAAGGCCGGTTCCAGCTTCCCGGGTACCAACAGCGTTGGACTAGATGGACCAATGGTCAGTTTCCTTTGAATAAGCACCATAGAACTCAGCTGGACACGCTTCTGACTCCACATGACTGGACTTTTAGATTCTGAATCACTTGGCTAAAATTGGGCCCATATTTCTCCAGAAACATAACCATTGATATTGCTGATCACACATGTGGTTTGGCACTTGACAATAAAAGTGTAGCTTTACTATCTTGTGATTCCCCTTCAGTATGATGGGAAATTGTTATCATTTTGTGTCCCTTTGAATAAAGTACTAAAACCCCTAATGATGTTGAATATAACTAAGTGGTGTCTGCTGTTGTTAATTTTAGGAAACAACCTGGACTTGGCATGACATAAAGCAGCACAGGATGATTAATCAAGTGAATCATGGCAGGCAGCACTAGGGCCTCCTTCTTGCACATAAAGCAATGCCACTGAGATGAGTATCCATTTCATTTACCTACTGGGCATTTTGTATCCCTGCTGAAGGGAGGATGATGTGGCGGAAGTCTCCACTAACTTGCTGAGAACTTGAATGACTTGAACTTGAGGTTTTCCATTCAGCTGTACTAAAAACACTAGACGAGGCAGGCAGCTTTTCCCAACGTGGCACCTTCCAGGTGCGTTGGACAGCAACTCTCACGCTAGCTTCTAATGACCCATCAGTTGGTAGTCCTGTGTTGCCTTGCTTGCACGAAGTACCTGAGATACCTTAAGTCATGGGTCCTCAAACTACGGCCCAGGGGCTGGATCTGGCCAGCC